TTTACTCGTTTACTTTTTGTTTCAACAAGTCAAAGTAAGTGGCAGTCAAGTCAATCCCCCTTTCCCTATGATTCAGTAAATGTGTGGGGATTTACTGGAACCTCCCCTTGGACTTCTTGAGTGGACACTTGCCAACACTTGTGCATGTTCCCGAACACTTAGTGGTTAATAATCCACCATTATCAGACATTAACATCTGCCACAACACAATTTTTAACAAGAAAAACAAAACTGCTAAAGTGGCGCTTTCCGATCGAAAAAGGTCCCATCAGCCGAGTTACGATGCAGATCAGCCGGAACTAACGACTTAACGTGTCCTTCAAGCATTTAAATCTCGAGATACTAAAGTTTTAGTGGGTCACTCACTCGCTGACCTACGATTTTGATTTTGAGTTTCTATAGGATTTTGTCGATAATTAGAATAATGGTTGAATGGCAGTTCTTTGTAAGAGTTATGAAATTGTGGAATTCTTAGCCTGGTGTAATATCAAAGGTGCGCACTATAGGTACTCCTTTGTTATTAAAATTAAGTGTCGCCGCACACGGGCCACCGACCACAACCACAAAACGCTGCCACCGGCATATTTCTTGTAGTTTTCATTCATTTTATATGGACTCGCCATACACGGTACGCCGGTGGCCGCCACACGCTACAAATCGTCGTTGCTCGCTTCTTTTGGCCCGCACCGGCCACTTAATGCGCCGATACAAAACGCCACCACACGTCACTCGCGCGATTCCCCACCCCTCTCTCCCTTACCTTAGTCGGCCGCTGTGGCGCGCTTCAGCCAGTTTAGTAGCCGCTTCTAGCTTCTCGTGGCGGCGTTTGTGGCTGTGGCGTGTGGCCCGTCTGCGGCGACACTAAGGACTATTTCCTCAAGCTAGACTCTGTCTGATCTATTTTTATGTATGTCTTGTACGAGCAAGCGCGTAAATTGCCGACGCAGCATTTATTTATTGACCCAATTTTCCTATAATTAATAATTTATTTCATACTAGCTGTTACCCGCGACTTCGTCCGCGTGGAATAGTATCTTTGGGTAGCATTTTTATTATTTAATAAGAATCATTAGTAGATATATTTAAAAAAAATAAAAAATATTTGTTTACAGTAGGTATAAGGTATTATGTATTCCATTGAGTGGCAGAAAGTACCTAGGAAAATTTATTGGTCGCTATGTCCAAGAGACACTTACAGGGGCCAGCGTCACGTTGTGTACAAAAATATTTTAAAATGACCTAATTTAAAACATTTTTGTACACAATGTTTGCTTTTTTGTTATTATTTGTTAAAATGTGGAGATTGTTTGGACTCGACACTCGCGAGCAGGCCACGTACAGTTGGCCATGCGAAAAACATTTTTTCTCTAAATTGACACCTGCTACTTTAAATCTCTGCCCTTGCGCTTTGTTAATGGTCATTGCGAAGGCTGGTTTGAGGGGAAACTGGATTCTTTTAAACTGAAAAGGTAAATCTGTACGGATCATGGGTATGCGGGGAATCAAAACTTCTACATCTTTAGCTATTCCTGTCATTATAATTGCTCTAATAATATTGCGTCCTAGCTGCGTAATTTGCAATCGAGTCCCGTTGCATAGTCTCGACGCTTTGAGATTTCTCATTAATAAAACTGGAACCCCAATTTTCAGTTTCAGCTTATGTGACGGCACTCCTGACAGCTCTAAAGAGTTTAGAAACTCTGTTCACTGTCCATGACAATATCTACTGACAAATATTCGACAACATCGCCTTGCACATGTGACATTGATTAAAGTAATCAATTAACGGATCATAATCAAAAGCAGCATCGGCAAATGCCTCCCACGTATTCATCGTAAACGTACGTCTCCTTTCTGCTTGCCGCTCGGAATTAATTAAACGTTGTCTACGTGTTTCTTCGGAGGTCTCTGCGGATATGTACGAAGCTTGACGCTCAGCATCTAAGATTTGGTGAGCTTGGGTCTGCTGAGAGGTCCCAGCAGCTCTTTGAGCCGCGTGACACTCGGCATCCAAGACTTGGCGAGCTTGGGTCTGCTGAGAGGTCTCTGCAGCTCTTTGAGCCGCGTGACGCTCGGCATCCAAGACTTGGCGAGCTTGGGTCTGCTGAGAAGTCTCTGCAGCTCTTTGAGCCGCGTGACGCTCGGCTCGCATCCAAGACTTGGCGAGCTTGGGTCTGCTGAGAGGTCTCTGCAGCTCTTTGAGCCGCATGACGCTCGGCATCCAAGACTTGGCGAGCTTGGGTCTGCTGACTTGGTCTTTTACTCGTTTACTTTTTGTTTCAATATTTAATCCACATAGCAGATATTATAATTAGGGGCGCTTTTCTATTTATTTTTGTCTAATATTTTCCTTCAGTCCCTTCAGTCAAGAAAGGGACAAGGTTGAATATTGGTAGGTATATTTTTGAATTAATGAATGAATTAAATTAAAAAGTGCAGCAAAAAAGGATATGATCGTAAGCGGCCGTTATGCCCTATAAGCTTATACATTTATGCAAGGCGATGCCAAAGAATAACTGCCGTTGCTGTAATATGGCCATGATCACTATTTTAAGGTTAATAAATAGGTAATTATCTTTTTTTAACGATTTAGTTGCTGGATTTATAAATCTAAAGAAAATTTTACTAGAAAAAAATCCTCGCGGTCCAGGTTCCCGACAGGACAGCCCGACAATCCGGGCGGACGCAGTAACCACTTATGCTACAAAAATACATTTTTGGTGAAAAATACCGAGACTTTTTTAGAATTTTAGCAGTCCAGACGACTTATTTAGGCACAAATACCTGTGTTGTACTGGTCAAACTATTCGCAGCAAATTTTTGAACCACATACTGATAAATACTCTTATAAATTTGAATATGAAAATGTTTTAGTATGGATAGTGTTAAGGTGACTTCAAAGAAGGATATGAGTTTAATTTGAATATTTCAAAAATGATGCATTATCTTTTCGAATTAAATAAACAAGAATTAATTGTCTTGCGATCATGAAGCTTGTAAATGTTCTAAAAGGTCAACCAAGAATAATATAAACTTAAATAAAACGTGCTTAGTACTTACCTGTTCAAAAAGTGATTTATTAAAAGAAATTTCGACCCTTACATGAGCTACTTCTTGGCGTAAGAATAAAATTTGGGGAGGTAAGTAAAACAGTAGCAAAAAGCTCGTATGTTAAACCATTATTTCTGCTCGCGAACCACAAGAAACATATAAAAGTTTGTTTTCGAAAGTACCAATAATATAAAAGTTAAACTATGACCATGGAAAATAACGAATACTTACCTTTTTTTGGTATCGTGTTTCAGTCGGGAAGTAAAGACCAAGGCAGATATTGTTTGAGTATGTAATACTCAAAAGGCGTAGACAAATAACTAACATTAAACAATGTATTTACACGTCGGTAGCTTTATGTGTATTAAATATTTGTTTTTTTTTAATGGAATTAATAGGTTCATGCTTAATTTTCTTTCATTATAAAATTTAGTATAAACTTTAAAGTGATCTTAGCGTTTGCTTCAATAAAAAATGATACTTTTCTACGACACCGGGTATTGCAAGTGTATAAGAAAGGTCATTTCGGATTTTACAGAAAATAAATTAGTAACCTCTTCGGCACGTTGACTCTTTTTAATAAACATACAAATTTATGTATTAATAAAGGAGACACAGCCACTTAAAACTCCAGAAATAGACAGAATTTAACGAGGGGTTACTATTACAGTCCCACATAAATTGACTTCCATCCAATCTAAAGTAGGCGAAGGGTAAATAATAATGTATTGTGATTGTTATGATATGATTGCTGTATATATGGTTACTAGTATTATCATGTGTGGATTTCTTCACAAAAAATACAAACAGAGCAGGAGGCGTGTTTTTACAAGCTTTCATTATTTAACTTTTGACTACAAAATCGAACAGACGAAAGATTATCTTCAAAAATTGATTTAAAATCAGAACGCAAATCTTCATGGCTGTTTAAATGTTATCTTTCTCGCAAAACAGCGGATTTTTTGGCTTATCATAAGAGTACGAATAATCGGATTGAGGTCGCAGTACCCTCTCGTTCCGAGTAGGAAGGCAGCGGGCCCTGCAATATCCGGCCCTGATCCCCAATATTGCTTGTATGGATTAAGGACATAAAATTCAATGATTATAACATAACCCAATAGCTGTTTATTTTGTTAGCGTGTTATGATAGGGTTTCTTTTTTGAACATTTCATGTTTCATATGCTCGGTTCAGTGTTGTTATTACAAAAGTATAGGTACTTATTAATTATACTTTGTTGTTGTATAAGTCTTCTTACATTACTTAACAAAAATAAGAACCTTACTACTATTTATAATATCATGCATAATTTCACTTGGTATATAATCACCATGATATATTGTTTAAAAGAAATACCAAATGCTACTTATTAACCGAAAGGTAAACAAGTAATTATAATGTAAAGTAATTACTAAACTAACTAAACTAAAATTACTCAACCAAAAAAAAAGAGTATGTGACACGTAGATAGTTAAATAGATTTATTTGTAGGACACGTCAGCTATTATTTAGAATTTAAGAAAAGTATATGTGGACTTCGTCATTTCTAAAATGAGAAATATAAAAATTCTTAGAGCTGCTTTAATATTTTTGGAATCGTGTCCCTTGGAGAGTTAAAATAAGAATGTTAATAATGATGGTTTGTATTAAAAATCGTCATTTTTTGAGTTGTTATCTTGGCATATTAGGTAACTAACGTTTTGATTACACCGAAAACATAAACCTAAGTACCTAGTTTGTTTAAAAAATGTGCAATATCCCACGAGAACACTAAAAGAACAAAACATTAAAATCGGGGTCTCAAGAGAGCTAAGGGTATAGTGGATTTTTAAAATTTTCAGAATTGAAAACTTGCAGAATCTTACCTATACACATCTAAATGAGTTTAAGTAACCATAATTTAAACCCATCTTTGAAATATTACTAAATATGATTTTTATCTCTTTACAGATAATAATGAGGATCGACCAAGTTATGGATAATGGAAACGTTCAAGAAATAAATCGACAAGAACATTTATCACACAGACAAATAAATAATAGAAACTGGAAATATTCAAATAATCACACAGAAAATATCTACCATAGTGAAACCACACAAAACAATGTTAATTCGAATTACAAGCACGAAAATAGTGATGTATACTTAAAAAACAACATTGCAATCTCGAAACCTGTAGAAGAAGAAGTCACCCCGACTACAAACCTAGTAATAAAACAAGTGTATAATAAACAGTATCGAATAAACACCCAAAATAACTTAATTAATCTAAAGACATACAATACGAACGATTCTCAAATACTCGAAAGAAGCATTGTTACTCCCGATACCCCTAGTGAAAAGCTTATAAGTACGTATGCCGTTATGATGAATCATTAAAATAAACCTATTTGAATCGTATTAAAAATACATATTATGTTATTTTTCAGGAGAAACTAATGTATATTCAATTTCATCGTTTGGTGAAGAAGAAAAGCCATTCGAACAATCTGACGCAGATGAGATGTCTGAAAACGGTGTGCAATCTTTACCAAGAGGCATAGTGAATCCAAACTATCCTGGCTTTCAACATCTAGCGCACACCTTACAGGTAAATATTTATTCTAACATGCAGAGAAACCCAGGGAGTGCAGTCTTTAAATGGGGACAACGAAATAAGCGAAGCCATTTAAGTTACAGTAGGTACTTATCTTAAGTACAGTCTTGATTACGTAATTATACACCAACCCTCTGGAAAAGGATTATAGTACTGTATCCTTACGTTTTAGAGGTTAATGAGACAAAACCGCATAATGATAAAAACTAAACCCGTTTTTGGCGATTTCAAAGGGACAAATGCGCGACTTATGCGGGAATGAAAAATAAACGTATTATTCGTACACATACTAAATTTGAGTACCTATTTAGGCATTGATGAACAGAGGTCGTCGGATTTTTCATCGTACCTATGTTACAGAGAGCGGTCTTCTTTAGGAACGAGGAGTTTTTGCACTACCCATCAGAATTGGCAGACGCCAGAACAGTAGTTCTTTCTTTACTTGTTTTGCTACCATGGTTAATTTCATCCGTCAAAGCATTGGATTTATTTGGCATCAATTTGAAAAACACGTACATTGTAACTATACGATTATCGTATTAATCGAAATAACGAATAGTATAGAGTATGAAAACATGTCTAAAGTTACGTTACAGGCACGCGTTTTTGTATAAAGCGGGTTGTACTGTATCTGCAATATTCTAATTAAGTCAAAATTTAATTCACATTCAAAATCCGACATCACTTTTGTGTGCATTAACGAGTATGGGTTGCACTATATAAATCTCTGGTTTCGTTTCTGTATTAGGCGAGTTGTTATATTATTCCATTTTTTAAATTTTAGTTATCAGAAGTATCACTTTTTATGTCGGCTTTAAACCAATAAGTTCGTTTAAAACATAATTTAAAAAAAAATATATAATATGTATTTATTTGTCGCTTAAAGTTGACTACAAGGAACTTTTAGACGTTTTTTTTTGAATTGCAGATTAGAACGCACTGATGATATAGCATTTAGCGTATTATAAGCAGTGCAGTCAAAACTGGACTAAATATCCAGTTTTGACTATTACACCTTAGACTATAATTCTAGAAATTTCGTATAATATTTTAATTTGTTTTAGGATTACTCATCAAATATAGACAATTTTTATCATTCTGAAAATGATATGACGGACGATGATGTCGACGTAGAAATTACAGAATTATCATATGATTGTGAAGCTTATCATAACGGTACCACAATAGAAAATAAAAATATAAAAAATAACAACAATAATAATGAACAATTACTACAAACTGATTTATATTCAAATACTAAACAATTAGATAGTCACGTTAATAATGAAGTCCCAGATCTTATAAAAACTGTATCAAAAAATAATAATAATGTCGATGTAACAGTCGATTGCGAATTCAACTGTTCAGATACAGATATAGAAAATAATTTTAATACAAAAGATATAATTGGAGACTTTAATAAAGAAATAGAGGATGAAATTAGACAATTATTAAATTATAACATTAATATTCAGGATGATTTAGAAGAGTTGAGGAAAGATATAAAAGATTCTTTTGCAAAACCAATAGAAAGCACTATTAATAATATAAGTGATGTGGTAAATCATGTCATAAAAAAGTTAGTTGAAACTCAGAACGATGGCAATGAACCGAGTGAGAAGGATTTTATTACAAGTGAATGCGATGACGATATTGCAGTTATAAATAGAGATAATGAAACAAATACAAAAACTGAAATGAATCTCAGCAGACCAACCTTTTTACTTATCGAAAATAATACTCACACCAAAATTATCGATGCTCATTTATCGGATGGGAAAGATGAAATAAATATTTACGAAAATGAATACGATACTGATAAATTAACCAGTGATGTAGATACAACAATAAAGCAACTTAGTACTGAGTTAAGAAAAATAATTCCTAAACTAGATGAAATGCGAGAAAGAGACAAATTGTGGGCCATCAATAACACCGATCCTATAACAGATGTGACTGATGGAAACTCTAACAAAGTTTCTACTACATCAAATTGTGCAGTTCTAGTTGGTTGTAGAGAAAATCAATTAGAATTTTCTGAAAATGATACAACTTTGCTTCCAGAGAGTGTGAGAAAACCAAGACAAAAATCGTAAGTACACACAAAACGTTACGTAATAAAACTCTAAATACCAATCATTACAATTTAATTTGTTGGCTTATGTACGTATTTTTATACAAAAGGCGTTTGTTTCTAAATGTTTCATCAGAGCTCCCATACATCGGAGCTTTAAAATAGATTTAAGTACCTTCACCTTGTGTTTAACGACGCTAAATAGAGTAAAGAAGTTGCCTTGCATGAGCGTTGTGCACAGTCGTATCCGTATAATTTAGCTACATGTTAGTATACAGTGTAGCTATTACGAGAGCTATTACTCATTTTGTAAACTCAGGCGTGGCATAATTTTGATAGCTTTGTAGTCATAGTTTGGATAGATACAGATATCAAAATGAAAAAAAATGTATTTTGAATTTAGTGAAACAAGAACACCAAAAAATCGACACAAAGAAACAAATTCTTCGAGGGATCCTGCACGCACAGCTCAAAACACATCCGTCCAAAAAACTATTGCGAAAGATAGTGATTTAGGTAAGAAAATTATATAAATTTATTCTTGTACTATTTACCGGTATTTGTTTTTGTGTTTTAATAACGCAATTGGTTCCATTCGTTAAAAGTTTTGATATATGATAAATAATGAATGACCACTATTTATAGCCTATAGTCGCTAGTACATGACACAAGGGCACAGGAAGCATTATTTTAATGTAATTTAAGTTTTAAAACGAGCACCGGGGTTTTATTTCTGAGGGATGGATCCCTGACAATGTAGATACTTTCTGTGATATGGGTCTTTTCGTTTCCGGTTCTCGAAATACAAATGATTCAGCTATTTACTTTGGAACGACAGCATTGTGCCCATGTGTTGTTGTCCAAAATTTATTTGTTTTGTATTATTTTATTTCAGAATGCTTCGACGTTTACAATATAGAGACAGCTTTGCCTAAATTAGATTTGGATGCTATTGAAAATCATTTAAGAGCAGCAAAGGAAGCAGAGAGGCGGGTGAGTGGCACAATAACTTAAGTTTACTTACACGTGGCTCGTTAGGGATCAAAAGCAAAATCATCAATCACAAAATTTGCGTGAGTGACGTGGAACACTCGGTTGGAACGAAGTTAAAAATATTTATATAGCACCCATCATCCCGCACTGGGCGCACGTGGCGAGTCATGGCCCAATCTCCATTCTATTCTTGTGTTGGGTGCCAATCCCTTGCCTCCTTATTCTCCAAGTGTATGGCAAGGGATGGTAGGTGTCCTCAGAAATGTTACATGAACGCTCTAGCAGTTTCTAATTAAAAGACTGACGATTTGGACGCGGTTAAAAGTCAAAGCCTTTTGTTGGAAATATTACAATGTACTCACGATAACACTATTAAATTAGTAAAATCTATAGCTATAACATATAACATATCTATAGTATATCTATATCGCTAAATATAAATTATTATAGGTTTTTAAACTAAGTTAAAAATCCATTCCGAGTCAATTGGTTCGAATTTACGCGCTACGCTAATAACGGTACATTCGCTTTAGACCCACGTTCGCAGCAACCATGTGTAACTGTTTGTAATTACCTACCAATAAGTAGTGGGACCAGCTTTCTAAGGTGATTCAGCAGAGCAGCACGACTAGACGGCCAGTCTCCGAGTATCAGTTATTTGCAAACTTGCGCGAACGCCACATCACGTTACGTTTCTTTTAGTTCGTGTTCTTTTTATTGTTGATATAAGTGATGGCGTCAATGCCATATTTTAATCCTGAACAAAGGCATTATAAGAAAGATACAAGATTTCTTTTGGATTTATATACAATAACATACGATAATCATGAATCCGTGGACAATATTTGTTGCCTTGTGAGTACCTTTAATTTTTTTAACAAAAGTGTTAATTTGCGATAGTAAACGGATTTCTAAAAAATGGAACACGCGAATCCTTGCCCTAAATGTCAGTTTGACAGGAATCTGGATTTCTAACTGACAGTTCTTTTGTTTACAATTTTCCAATACTTACGCCAAATCACCAATTTTTACTTTGTACCTTAGTTTATCCATATTAATTTGTTATTGTTGTGCCATATTTTCTGCCAAAAATTGAAAGACTGACTAGAATATAAGATGTTTGGAAATTTAGTTACCAATATTAAGAGAAGATTAAGCAAAACATCAGGTGACAGCGTCGACAGTAAACAACCAGAAAAACCAGGGTTAAAACTAAATTTGCACCTGCTCAAATCAAAATTTATGAAACCTGACAAACCTGAGACAAAAACATTGTCTGTGAATAATATCGACGATACTCAAGATATAGCTCTTAGTCCCAGGGCCATTGGCACAGCTGAATGTGCTGAAACTGATATTGAATGGCCAGTGCTTGCAGACAATAATCCAAATATTTTAGACAAATTTACTCGAATAGTTACTTTAAATGATTGTGTTTATGATAGTAAAGTAAGATTTGCAATTTTTATAATAATACATATTTCAAAAAGTAAGGTACTTACCCTTAATAGTTCCTAAATTAAATTTTCCAATATTGTTTGTAGAAACGCAATGATAGGGAAGAAATTAGAAGACGCCTGGCAATGGGGGCTGATAATGATGAATATTATAGTATGGGGCATACAGACCGTCCAGGGAAGAAACCAAGTTTACATTCCCGGCTCCAAAATGGTGAGCATTTGTTATGAACATTATTAAAGCTGCAGTTGGTTGGTGAACCTTAAAGGCTACTTGTTACCTAAAACATCAAATAGTTTGTGTGAATTATGAGTGTTTTCATGGGTTTGTACTGGAATATAAAGCATTGTAGATGATATTCCCAATTTTGTTAATTGCAATCGAAATTTTAAGCTATATATTTGTTATCATACAGTCACTTAATCATTTCTGTTTTCACTATTTTCATTCACTGGGTTTGGGTCATTAATTATTGTTGTGTTGTGCTATGGTGTGCAGGTATGAATCTCCAAATTTGTTTCATGAATGAAACAGCTTCAGATAATGAATCACTAGCATCAGACATAGAAAAAAACTACAATAGCAGAAGTTCATCCCGGTCAAGTGTTTTCAGCAAATCTAGTTATAATCATCCTTATCAAACAAGGCCACTGTCTGTGAATATCACTAAACAAGATAAAATAAACAGTATACAGAATGGTAAGTACATATTGAGATGAATGTGTATGCTTTCAGTTTTCATATAAGCATACAAACATAAATCCCTTTTGTTTATTCACTCTTGTATTTTTATTTATCAATGAAATGAGGCTAAAAAATTACATTTAAATATTTTATTTTAATGAACAAGACAGAATCTTAACCATCTCTTAAAAATAGTGGTCATAAAATTGAGCTAGACTGGTACCCACTGAACTTTTTAACAAGCTATGCTACAGCTACAGCTAATGTGTTCTTGTGCAAAGGGCCTGTTTTTTTCTGGCAGCTTGAGTGTCTAACTTATGCTCTTTCTGTGATCCTCTTCAAAGTGAAAGAAAATGACAATGTGACATAACTTTTATCTTTCCCAACTATGAAATGAGGGATCAAGAAAAAGTTACAATATAAATAAGAAAATGTTACTGCTGTTCCCAGTAGGCTAGCTTCCTACCACTATTTAGACCTAAAACTAGAGTTGCCATCTATCTGTCTGAGTTTCCCCAGATTTGTCCTAGCTTAGAAGTGACCAGGGAGGAGTGATCTGGGCGAGGTTACATATGTAGTCAGGGCTTAAAAATTTCACATTTTTGGCTGCTTTCTAGACTAATTTCATAAATTTTAAAGCTACCGAAAAACTTCCAGTACAAAAAACGAATTTACCAAGTCAAACTTTTCTTGTGAACTCTCTGGGTGATTTTTAATATCCACTATTAATCTGTGAATTATACTGATGTAATTTATGTAATGGTATGAATGATTCTGACCCGTATTTGGTTCCCTAAAAATGTTTTTTTTTATTGTAAGTATATATATTGTGCATGGCCCGGCCTCGCTTTGCTTCGGTGTAGACTATAGTTTTTGTTCTAATATAGAGTTTATGACACAAATAAATTGGTCTTCTATTGATAAAATAATTTTCAAAATTGGTTCAGTAGATCCAGAGAACACCCCACACAGATAACTACAACCTTAAAAACTTTACCTTTTTTATAATATTAGTATAAGTATAATTGGTTATTTTGGATATTATTATGATTTGGACATTTTTATTTTTGGGCATTATTATTACATTAGTCTCGCAAACTGTGTTCTGGGCTCCAAAATTCCGGTATTTCAGGTGGTTTTCCTAGTTTCCAAATCTTAGTGATGGCAACCCTACCATAAAGTAACCTGTGGCTAAACCTTTTCTTGCTCGTGATAAGTAGCATTATTATTATATGTTCTATTTTCTTTATCATGTCACTGCTAAATTAACTTTCTGGTTGCATACTAATAATACCTATATTTATTTTTCCCTCACAGTAGTAACAATCATACTTATTTTTATATTATTTAAGTGTAAATAATTACTTATTCATGGTTGTTTTTACATTATCAAATATTTTATAGAACTGAAGTCTAAGAATTCAGAAAAGCCATTGTTTATTATATTATATTGTACGTATTCTAGGCGCAAAGCTACGCCCAACATCGTTATCTGTGAAATCAAAATCTCGGTCATCACATTCTTTGGGACACATAGAGCTCAAGGAGTCTGACTTCTATGCCTTGCAAGCAACACTGCAGACCGAGGCTAGAATTGCTCTCGCGCAGGCAAAAGAGATGGCACGAATACAGATGGAGGTTAGTAAGAAGCTCAATAAGTATTTACAGAGTAAACATATTCACTTGTTTGCTATTACTATTAGTTTATTTTTGAAATTTCTATCGTAAAGTAATTAGTCGATAGAGGTTTAAAAAATGCCACATTTGACATTAATAAAACCTAACCATATCTATGCCAACCAGTCGCCTAACTCATTCGCTGTTGATAGGGTGATAGTATCCATTCCAAAGCTCCGTTTAACATATTTTCGTGCTCAGGGGCCCACTCATGAAGTGGTATTTAAAAATATCGTATTGAAAACCCTAGATACACCAACAACAGTGCACAAAATGTGACTTAAACATCTTAATAGCGCATTCAGTTTTAAAATATAGGTTCATATAAATAAAGTATATTCTTTAGCCTATACCGACAAGTCGACAAATTTTATTAGGTTGCATTTCAAACTGCCACAACTATCAGCCTTGTGCCTTTGAATTAAAACCATATACCCTTTGTATTACTGGTGACTGAAAATTGAAACTCTCTCTAACATCTCGGTTGATGTTATTAGTAGACCTGATCAATTTTTCTAGTAGAGAAAGGTTCAGCGTCCATACATAGTTAGCCTAAGAACCAACAATCATGAAATATTATTTTCTAGGTTCAAAATCGTAAGTAAATGACTGTAAAAACAAAGATTATTGACGGACACTTCTGAGAACTTCAATTATTAGGAAAACTAATTTTTTTTTCGAGGTTATGTTAATATTCAATGAAACATAGGTCCACCTATGAATTAAGTATAAACTCAGTATGAAGTGAATTAATATTACAACTAATTCATTTTATTCGGTGTGATTTTAAAGAATAACTATTAGAAAAAACTTGGTTAGGTAGGAATCATGAATAAAATAAAAACTGTAGTTTTGCTTCTTATTTATTGACTATTTTTCACATAATTGATCATATTGTTTATTGTATTTATTTGTATATCACATGTCGGTATATTGTGTAAATATGCAGCGTGAATGTGTATCAGGGTTTCTTGAATAATTTGGCAGTATGATCCTCTCAGGATGTTGTGGCACAGGTTCACTAGCACTTGGTAATAAGGGCTCTGCTCTTTGGTAACATCGATGGCATATTAGATAGCCGAAATAGTTAACTTATAGGAAAAACAATCGCAAATAAACACACACAACACAAAACAGGTAATCCGAAACGAGAACGCACTTTCCGGTATATATTAAATTATACTACTCTTTGTAATGCACGAATGCCACAGATTACTACGAATGCAAACTGCATGCACCACAACCACAGAGTAACGAGTTTTATGCCGGCCCTTCACTTGACAACAGTTTGTCCTTGTCATGCTTAATAAGGAATGAAAAGGACAGGTTGATGTCATGTTTTAAAATAGCAAATACGAATAGCCAAGTCAAGTGCCGGCATTAGGAAGAAAGAGTGTTTTGTTTGCAGCGCTGCCATAGATTATACACATAAAATGGTATTTATTGTCTCAGATTATTTTTTGACTTTTAAATTTAGCTTACTTAACTGGAAGTGTCCGTCACAATCTAAATACTGATAATTATCGCAAAAAATATACTAAGAATTATCATAAATGCCAAATTGGTGTTGGTTCTTAGGCCAATTTTAACATTGTCCTTTAAAACTGTATCAAATATTTGAGGCAGAACGATGATTTTGCAGCGTGAACGGCGAAGTCGGCCCGTGTCGCCAGTGACAGAAATGTTGCGACGCAGCATGGAAAAGGCGAGCGCCCCTCTCGCGCCCGACCGCCGCCGCGTGTCGAGACAGCTGCTCACCGACATGAACATCGCGCAGTTGCAGGTCAGTCAGTCATCATCGTACAGCGTAGTCGGCCCGTGTTGCCGGTGATGGAGATGTTGCGGCGCAGCATGGAAAAGGCAAGCGCCCCTCACGCGCCCGACCGCCGCCGCGTATCGAGGCAGCTGCTTACCGACATGAACATCGCACAGTTGCAGGTCAGTCAGTCATCATCATACGGCGTAGTCGGCCCGTGTCGCCGGTGACGGAGATGTTGCAGAGCAGCATGGAGAAGGCAAGCACCCCTCTCGCCCCCGACCGTTGGCGCGTGTCGAGGCAGCTGCTCACCGACATGAACATCGCGCAGTTGCAGGTCAGTCAGTCATCATCATACGGCGTAGTCGGCCCGTGTCACCGGTGACGGAGATGTTGCGGTGCAGCATGGAGAAGACAAGGCTCCTCTCGCGCCCGACCGCCGCCGCGTGTTGAGGCAGCTACTCACCGACATGAACATCGTGCAGTTGCAGGTCAGTCAGTCATCATCATACGGCGTAGTCGGCCCGTGTCGCCGGTGACGGAGATGTTGCGGAGCAGCATGGAGAAGGCAAGCACCCCTCTCTCCCCCGACCGTCGCCGCGTGTCGAGGCAGCTGCTCACCGACATGAACATCGCGCAGTTGCAGGTCAGTCAGTCATCATCATACGGCGTAGTCGGCCCGTGTCGCCGGTGACGGAGATGTTGCGGCGCAACATGGAGAAGGCAAGCGCCCCTCTCGCCCCCGACCGTCGCCGCGTGTCGAGACAGCTGCTCACCGACATGAACATCGCGCAGTTGCAGGTCAGTCACTCATTATCATACGGCGTAGCCGGCCCATGTCGCTGGCGACAGAAATGTTGCGGCGCAGCATGGAGAAGGCGAGTGCCCCTCTCGGGCTCGACCGCCGCCGCGTGTCGTAATAGCTGCTCACCGACACGAACTTCGTGCAATTACAGGTCAGTCATTGTTGCCATTATCATAATATCAATATGCCATGGAAAATCTTTGTAGGTACCCACCATTTTAGTCACATTTTAGCATATTAGATAAATGTGATATTATTATTTAATAGTAATTAATGTGATATTTTTAAGGTAATACGGAGATGGAGTGAACAATGCTAATCTTTACATGATAAAATAAAGTCTGTACGTTTTAAACTACTCAACGGATTTTAAAGCAATTTCAGCAATAGAGATTCAAAAAGAAAGGTTAATTAAGTACAACATATCCTGGAGAACAAATACTTTAGTCCTCACCGAAGCGAAGCGAGGGCGGATCACTAGAATTTTATATACTCCAGTCGAAACACACTTAATGAATAAAACAACATGAAACAAGAAAAATCTCAATCTCAAATGTTCAAAGATAAAAAGGCCAATTCGACCACTAGTTACTATCATTACCTCTGCCAGGCAAACGGTGGGTATGCGCTAGCGAAAGTTGTAAAAGAAACCGTTTTTACCGACGCGATTATGTGATATATGGTGTTCTTACCTAGTAAGACTTTCAAACTCAATAGCATGTACTATTTTAAATATTGAAATTATGCACTTAGCACTCACTGCTACATAATTAGCTGCTGAGTCTCTTGTTAACTTTGGGCCTTCCGCTACCGGGTTAATAGCCGCTACCGTTTAGAACGTACGAATTTACTGTGTCATTAATTATTATAAGACTGCCGTAAATATAACACTAGCGTTTCGAAGTACAAAACCAGGATATTAAGTTAGAGCATTACTAAATAGTAAGGTTGAGTAATACGACACCGATTTTTGATTGAAATTCTGTTCGCTGGCAGTATGACATTTTATTTTCACGGTAATTGCACCTGATTAACATTACTAAGTATCAGAATATAATACCTAAACTGGAACACCCTATCAAAATATTATATCTCTTCTCAAGTCATCGATAATTTTTGAGATTAAATGACACGTCAAGTTGCAACTCAATATTTGGGCCGTCATCTTAAAGTGGCAAAAAAAATATGATAAACATTGAATGCGTTGTTTTGAGTAACCTTGTAAGCGCTGATTCATGCGTGAAGACCATTAAACACAATGGATATATTCTTAAATAACAATACCTATTGTATAATTTGCTTTTTTGACGACTGCTGACCAGCGCTAACGACTAAACGTCACAACGTAAACTTGCCCAATTAAACAAAAAAACTTAAATATAGTTTTAATGATAAACAAATGTTACGCTATCGTTTTGCTTCGGAAAAAAAAAGTTATTGTTTCCGTGCATGTATAATACTATACATATTATATGTATAGTATTATACATTTACGGAAGGTTTATACCTTCCGTAAAAAAATATGTAACTGATGGTAAAATACCGCATGAAAATCCGAGACAGCCAGCCGCGGCGGAGGACTTTATTTTTTTAATAAGTACAGGAAGGCGCAAAAGTAATCACTCTATCGGAATATGTTGTAATTATTGCAAATGGCGTCGTACATCAATCATATTTCACATTTGTGAACTAGACTAGATGCAGAACACAACAGACAAGCAATGGAGCAAAATACTCCACAGGAGCTTGAACATGTGTGGCTTCAATAAGACTGTACAACCGCACGAACAAAATAGTTTCATTATTGTCAGATTTAGTATTGTCAGTAAGATCGCCCGATTTAACTATACCAGACTTCTTTTTTTTTGGGGCTTATACCAACAAGCCTCAGACAATCGCAGCCCTTATATTAAAGAATGCGAACAGTCATCACCTTGCAGAAATCATGGAAAATGCGATAAAACAGACCCAAATGTGTATCAATACTAGTGACAGCCAATTGACGAATAAGTATCATCTTTTTCACTTAACAGTTTTTTAAAGGTCCTCTATATCCTTTTTTTATTATTTTTATTTATTGTTTCTTAAATAAAGTAACAGTTTTACAATTATTATAAGTGTAACAGAAACTAGAAAGGTTTATTCGTACACTATAGTCTGTTTCTAATTCTGATACAAAATTACATTACCTGTGTTGCCGGTTTATTGCAGTTCTTAAAAAGTATTGTACTGCTATCGGAATCGGAAATAAACGCTCTTAAAATATCTAGTATCGTTTTTTATATATAAGAGTTTTAGTGAGCATTATCGGAACCGGTTTCCCAGTTATGAGGAATTCTTTGAGCCACAGTAATCGCGTCATAGTTAACTTTTTGATTAGTTATTTTGTGATCCGCATACATTACATAAAACAAAACTTCAAAGAATAACGTATTAAAATTTGATAGAAATTACAAAAATTAATAACGTGCTATGAAAACGCTCGTCCTTCACAAAGTACCGCCACTACTGACGCTATAAGCTCGAGCGTACCGCTCATGCACAGTTTGGCAAGTTGTAGAACTTTCGTCTATGCGTGCGTAAAGTATTTTTGATGTAAATATATTTTAATAGACTTTTCGGCACTACAGGCCTTATTTGTATGTGGTACCTTAGTTATAATAAAACAAAATTGGATGATTACTCTTTGGCGCCGCCTTGTATATACTACATAATAAGAATGTCAGTAAGCTAATGATTTTAAACAAAGTAAGAAGAATTATAAGAAATATTTGTGTAAAGTAAAGTATAAGTAAATCATAAATAATATAAACGAATAATAATGTATATTCTAATAAAAAATCACTCATGAAAGACTACCTGCACGAGGGAATGAAAACTTAAATTATTTACGATTCTTTCTATTTCATGATTAAATTACGGGTTTCAACAAAACGTTATCATTTGCGCAACCGTTAATAAAAATTATTCATAATGTTATTTTGCATTTCCCCATCTCGCAGTTTATTATAAGCGGAATACATTTAGTTTGTTCAGTTTTTATCAATGTAAGTACTTACATAACTACTCTTGACCCGTTCTCTAATTTCGTTGTAATGAAGTTATTTGCATCTTAATTAATAGCATTCATCTGTACATTTGAAACTTGCCTAGTAGCTGTAGCTATAGCACAGATTACGGCTTTAATTTTATACCATAAAACATTAAAATAATAATAAAAAAACAAGATAAGTTTACATAGCTGACGCGATAAGCCAAACTAACATTGTTAGTAAAATTGAAAATATGAATCTGAAACATAATATCCAAATAAATACACAAATAGTATTTTTTTGATACTGGTCTTTGGTTTTATTACATTATTATTGATATCAATAGCTTAGTCTATTGATTCCATGACATGATGTCCAATATAGAGTATCCTACCTTCTATTATTATTGTGTAATGTACCTACTGAAAATTCAGAAGTCTTTAGTGTAGGAAAGTACATTTAAATACTGTCAGTTAACAACTTAGCGTAAGCCGGCAGTTCACTTGGCAATTCTTATTTGCTATTTGTAAACTTGACAGCAGTCTGCCATGCTTTATAAGACTGAAGTTTACAAATAGCAAATAACAATAAAATAGTGAAATGCCCGCATAAAGTGTCTTTCCTTTTATAAACAGAGTTAATTGTGTCATCAGGTTATAGTAAACGAGCTACACTCGCAAATCGAGTCCTTGAACGACTCGCTGGTGAAACTACTGATGGCGCGCGACGAGCTGCACATGGGGCAGGACTCCATGCTCGTAGACATCGAGGACCTCACGCGCTATCTGTGAGTCACACACTCATTAACGCAGCTCGAGGGCAGAACGAGTCCCTTATAGCGCTATTGATGGCGCACGACGGGCTGCACACGGGGCGGGACTCCATGCTCGCCGACTTCGAGAACCTTACGCGCTACCTGTGAGTCACGCATTCATTAACGCAGCTCGAGGGCAGAACGAGTCCTTTATAGCACTACTGATGGCGCACGACAGGTTGCACACGGGGCGGGACTCCATGCTCGTCGACTTCGAGAAACTCACGCGCTACCTGTGAGTCACACACATTAACGCAGCTCGAAGGTAGAACGAGTCTCTTATAGCACTACTGATGGCGCACGCCGGGCTGCACTCGGGGCAGGACTCCATGCTCGTCGACTTCGAGAACCTCACGCGCTACCTGTGAGTCACACACTCATTAACGCAGCCCAAAGCAGAACGAGTCCCTTATAGCACTACTGATGGCGCACGACGGGCTGCACACGGGGCAGGACTCCATGCTCGTCGACTTCGAGGACCTCACGCGCTACCTGTGAGTCACACACTCATTAACGCAGCTCGAGGGCAGAACGAGTCCCTTATAGCACTACTGATGGCGCACGACAGGCTGCACTCGGGGCAGGACTCCATGCTCGTCGACTTCGAGAACCTCACACGCTACCTGTGAGTCATACACTCATTTACGCAGCTCGAGGGCAGAACGAGTCCCTTATATCACTACTGATGGCGCACGACGGGCTGCACACGGGGCGGGACTCCATGCTCGTCGACTTCGTGAACCTCACGCGCTACCTGTGAGTCACACACTCATTAACGCAGCCCGAGGGCAGAACGAGTCCCTTATAGCACTACTGATGGCGCACGACGAGCTGCACATGGGGCAGGACTCCATGCTCGTAGACATCGAGGACCTCACGCGCTACCTGTGAGTCACACACTCATTAACGCAGCTCGAGGGCAGAACGAGTCCCTTATAGCACTATTGATGGCGCACGACGGGCTGCACACGGGGCGGGACTCCATGCTCGCCGACTTCGAGAACCTTACGCGCTACCTGTGAGTCACGCATTCATTAACGCAGCTCGAGGGCAGAACGAGTCCCTTATAGCACTATTGATGGCGCACGCCGGGCTGCACACGGGGCAAGACTCCATGCTCGTCGACTTCGAGAACCTCACGCGCTACCTGTGAGTTACACACATTAACGCAGCTCGAAGGTAGAACGAGTCTCTTATAGCACTACTGATGGCGCACGCCGGGCTGCACTCGGGGCAGGACTCCATGCTCGTCGACTTCGAGAACCTCACGCGCTACCTGTGAGTCACACACTCATTAACGCAGCCCAAAGCAGAACGAGTCCTTTATAGCACTACTGATGGCGCACGACGGGCTGCACACGGGGCAGGACTCCATGCTCGTCGACTTCGAGAACCTCACGCGCTACCGGTGAGTCACACACTCATTAACGCAGTTCCAGGGCAGAACGAGTCCCTTATAGCACTACTGATGGCGCACGACAGGCTGCACTCGGGGCAGGACTACATGCTCGTCGACTTCGAGAACCTCACGCGCTACCTGTGAGTTACACACTCATTAACGCAGCTCGAAGGCAGAACGAGTCTCTTATAGCACTACTGATGGCGCACGCCGGGCTGCACACGGGGCAAGACTCCATGCTCGTCGACTTCGAGAACCTCATGCGCTACCTGTGAGTCACACACTCATTAACGCAGCCCGAGGGCAGAACGAGTCCCTTATAGCACTATTGATGGCGCACGACGGGCTGCACACGGGGCGGGACTCCATGCTCGTCGACTTCGAGAACCTCACGCGCTACCTGTGAGTTACACACATTAACGCAGCTCGAAGGTAGAACGAGTCTCTTATAGCACTACTGATGGCGCACGCCGGGCTGCACTCGGGGCAGGACTCCATGCTCGTCGACTTCGAGAACCTCACGCGCTACCTGTGAGTCACACACTCATTAACGCAGCCCGAGGGCAGAACGTGTCCCTTATAGCACTGCTGATGGCGCATGACGAGCTGCACATGGGGCAGGACTCCATGCTCGTAGACATCGAGGACCTCACGCGCTACCTGTGAGTCACACACTCATTAACGCAGCTCGAGGGCAGAACGAGTCCCTTATAGCACTATTGATGGCGCACGACGGGCTGCACACGGGGCGGGACTCCATGCTCGCCGACTTCGAGAACCTTACGCGCTACCTGTGAGTCACGCATTCATTAACGCAGCTCGAGGGCAGAACGAGTCCCTTATAGCACTATTGATGGCGCACGACAGGTTGCACACGGGGCGGGACTCCATGCTCGTCGACTTCGAGAACCTCACGCGCTACCTGTGAGTCACGCATTCATTAACGCAGCTCGAGGGCAGAACGAGTCCCTTATAGCACTATTGATGGCGCACGACAGGTTGCACACGGGGCGGGACTCCATGCTCGTCGACTTCGAGAACCTCACGCGCTACCTGTGAGTTACACACATTAACGCAGCTCGAAGGTAGAACGAGTCTCTTATAGCACTACTGATGGCGCACGCCGGGCTGCACTCGTGGCAGCACTCCATGCTCGTCGACTTCGAGAACCTCACACGCTACCTGTGAGTCATACACTCATTTACGCAGCTCGAGGGCAGAACGAGTCCCTTATAGCACTACTGATGGCGCACGACGGGCTGCACACGGGGCGGGACTCCATGCTCGTCGACTTCGAGAACCTCACGCGCTACCTGTGAGTCACACACTCATTAACGCAGCCCGAGGGCAGAACGAGTCCCTTATAGCACTGCTGATGGCGCATGACGAGCTGCACATGGGGCAGGACTCCATGCTCGTTGACATCGAGGACCTCACGCGCTACCTGTGAGTCACACACTCATTAACGCAGCTCGAGGGCAGAACGAGTCCCTTATAGCACTATTGATGGCGCACGACGGGCTGCACACGGGGCGGGACTCCATGCTCGCCGACTTCGAGAACCTTACGCGCTACCTGTGAGTCACGCATTCATTAACGCAGCTCGAGGGCAGAACGAGTCCCTTATAGCACTATTGATGGCGCACGACAGGTTGCACACGGGGCGGGACTCCATGCTCGTCGACTTCGAGAACCTCACGCGCTACCTGTGAGTTACACACATTAACGCAGCTCGAAGGTAGAACGAGTCTCTTATAGCACTACTGATGGCGCACGCCGGGCTGCACTCGGGGCAGGACTCCATGCTCGTCGACTTCGAGAACCTCACGCGCTACCTGTGAGTCACACACTCATTAACGCAGCCCAAAGCAGAACGAGTCCCTTATAGCACTACTGATGGCGCACGACGGGCTGCACACGGGGCAGGACTCCATGCTCGTCGACTTCGAGAACCTCACGCGCTACCGGTGAGTCACACACTCATTAACGCAGGTCCAGGGCAGAACGAGTCCCTTATAGCACTACTGATGGCGCACGACAGGCTGCACTCGGGGCAGGACTACATGCTCGTCGACTTCGAGAACCTCACACGCTACCTGTGAGTCACACACTCATTAACGCAGCTCGAGGGCAGAACGAGTCCCTTATAGCACTATTGATGGCGCACGACGGGCTGCACACGGGGCGGGACTCCATGCTCGCCGACTTCGAGAACCTTACGCGCTACCGGTGAGTCACACACTCATTAACGCAGCTCCAGGGCAGAACGAGTCCCTTATAGCCCTACTGATCGCGCACGACAGGCTGCACTCGTGGCAGCACTCCATGCTCGTCGACTTCGAGAACCTCACACGCTACCTGTGAGTCATACACTCATTTACGCAGCTCGAGGGCAGAACGAGTCCCTTATAGCACTACTGATGGCGCACGACGGGCTGCACACGGGGCGGGACTCCATGCTCGTCGACTTCGAGAACCTCACGCGCTACCTGTGAGTCACACACTCATTAACGCAGCCCAAAGCAGAACGAGTCCCTTATAGCACTACTGATGGCGCACGACGGGCTGCACACGGGGCAGGACTCCATGCTCGTCGACTTCGAGAACCTCACGCGCTACCTGTGAGTCACACACTCATTAACGCAGCTCGAGGGCAGAACGAGTCCCTTATAGCACTATTGATGGCGCACGACGGGCTGCACACGGGGCGGGACTCCATGCTCGCCGACTTCGAGAACCTTACGCGCTACCTGTGAGTCACGCATTCATTAACGCAGCTCGAGGGCAGAACGAGTCCCTTATAGCACTATTGATGGCGCACGACAGGTTGCACACGGGGCGGGACTCCATGCTCGTCGACTTCGAGAACCTCACGCGCTACCTGTGAGTTACACACATTAACGCAGCTCGAAGGTAGAACGAGTCTCTTATAGCACTACTGATGGCGCACGCCGGGCTGCACTCGGGGCGGGACTCCATGCTCGTCGACTTCGAGAACCTCACGCGCTACCTGTGAGTCACACACTCATTAACGCAGCCCAAAGCAGAACGAGTCCCTTATAGCACTACTGATGGCGCACGACGGGCTGCACACGGGGCAGGACTCCATGCTCGTCGACTTCGAGAACCTCACGCGCTACCGGTGAGTCACACACTCATTAACGCAGTTCCAGGGCAGAACGAGTCCCTTATAGCACTACTGATGGCGCACGACAGGCTGCACTCGGGGCAGGACTACATGCTCGTCGACTTCGAGAACCTCACACGCTACCTGTGAGTCACACAATCATTAACGCAGCTCGAGGGCAGAACGAGTCCCTTATAGCACTATTGATGGCGCACGACGGGCTGCACACGGGGCGGGACTCCATGCTCGCCGACTTCGAGAACCTTACGCGCTACCTGTGAGTCACGCATTCATTAACGCAGCTCGAGGGCAGAACGAGTCCCTTATAGCACTATTGATGGCGCACGACAGGTTGCACACGGGGCGGGACTCCATGCTCGTCGACTTCGAGAACCTCACGCGCTACCGGTGAGTCACACACTCATTAACGCAGCTCCAGGGCAGAGCGAGTCCCTTATAGCACTACCGATGGCGCACGACAGGCTGCACACGGGGCAGGACTCCATGCTCGTTGAGTTCGAGGACCTCACGCTCTACCTGTGAGTCACACACTCATTAATGCAGCTCGCGGGCAGAGCGAGTCCCTTATAGCACTACCGATGGCGCACGACAGGCTGCACACGGGGCAGGACTCCATGCTCGTTGAGTTCGAGGACCTCACGCTCTACCTGTGAGTCACACACTCATTAACACAGCTCGAGGGCAGAACGAGTCCCTTATAGCACTACTGATGGCGCACGACGGGCTGCACACGGGGCGGGACTCCATGCTCGTCGACTTCGAGAACCTCACGCGCTACCTGTGAGTTACACACTCATTAACGCAGCTCGAAGGCAGAACGAGTCTCTTATAGCACTACTGATGGCGCACGCCGGGCTGCACACGGGGCAAGACTCCATGCTCGTCGACTTCGAGAACCTCATGCGCTACCTGTGAGTCATACACTCATTAACGCAGCCCGAGGGCAGAACGAGTCCCTTATAGCACTACTGATGGCGCACGACGAGCTGCACATGGGGCAGGACTCCATGCTCGTAGACATCGAGGACCTCACGCGCTACCTGTGAGTCACACACTCATTAACGCAGCTCGAGGGCAGAACGAGTCCCTTATAGCACTATTGATGGCGCACGATGGGCTGCACACGGGGCGGGACTCCATGCTCGCCGACTTCGAGAACCTTACGCGCTACCTGTGAGTCACGCATTCATTAACGCAGCTCGAGGGCAGAACGAGTCCCTTATAGCACTATTGATGGCGCACGACAGGTTGCACACGGGGCGGGACTCCATGCTCGTCGACTTCGAGAACCTCACGCGCTACCTGTGAGTTACACACATTAACGCAGCTCGAAGGTAGAACGAGTCTCTTATAGCACTACTGATGGCGCACGCCGGGCTGCACTCGGGGCAGGACTCCATGCTCGTCGACTTCGAGAACCTCACGCGCTACCTGTGAGTCACACACTCATTAACGCAGCTCGAGGGCAGAACGAGTCCCTTATAGCACTACTGATGGCGCATGACGGACTGCACACGGGGCAGGACTCCATGCTCGTCGACTTCGAGAACCTCACGCGCTACCGGTGAGTCACACACTCATTAACGCAGTTCCAGGGCAGAACGAGTTCCTTATAGCACTACTGATGGCGCACGACAGGCTGCACTCGGGGCAGGACTACATTCTCGTCGACTTCGAGAACCTCACACGCTACCTGTGAGTCACACATTCATTTACGCAGCTCGAGGGCAGAACGAGTCCCTTATAGCACTACTGATGGCGCACGACGGGCCTGCACACGGGGCAGGACTCCATGCTCGTTGACTTCGAAAACCTCACGCGCTACCGGTGAGTCACACACTTATTAACGCAGCTCCAGGGCAGAACGAGTCCCTTATAGCACTACCGATGGCGCACGACAGGCTGCACACGGGGCAGGACTCCATGCTCGTTGACTTCGAGGACCTCACGCTCTACCTGTGAGTCACACACTCATTAACGCAGCTCGCGGGCAGAACGAGTCTCTTATAGCACTACTGATGGCACACGACGGGCTGCACACGGGGCGGGACTTCATGCTCGTCGACTTCGAGGACTTCACGCTCTACCTGTGAGTCACACACTCATTAACGCAGCTCGAGGGCAAAACGAGTCCCTTATAGCACTACTGATAGCGCACGCCGGGATGCACATGGGGCAGAACTTCATGCTCGTCGACTTCGCGGACCTCACGCGCTACCTGCGAGTCACACACTCATTAACGCAGCTCGAGGGCAGAACGAGTCCCTTATAGCACTACTGATGGCGCACGACGGGCTGTACACGGGGCAGGACTTCATGCTCGTCGACTTCGAGGACTTCACGCTCTACCTGTGAGTCACACACTCATTAACGCAGCTCGAGGGCAGAACGAGTCCCTTATAGCACTACTGATGGCGCACGACGGGCTGCACATGGGGCAGGACTCCATGCTCGTCGACATCGAGGACCTCACGCGCTACCTGTGAGTCGTGAGGTGTCGTATTAGAGTAGAGGGCGCTCGGACCCCTTAGACCCGGCGCCCGTGTGCACCGCACACCCTGCATTATAGGTAAAGCCGCCTCTGCATATCATACATAGATGAATGTCGTAAACATTAACCAATTTATTTAATTGTGTTAATTATTACCGTGTTATGATCTAGTGATCAAATTACCTAAATTATGTCTGTCATATATCTTTTAAACACCATTAACTGTTAATATAATATTTAGTTGATTTAGTTACCATTATAGTTCAGTTAGAGGTAAAAAGCCAGTAAGTATCCATAGTTCCATGTACCTAAAGTTTCATAAAATTTTAAAACCGAAGTTAAATAATTTTGTGTGTCGTAAACATACCTAGTTCGTAGATGTAAACGATTGCAAATATTTAATAATATAACTAGTGGCCCGCCCTCGCTTCGCTTCGGTGTAGAGCTGTAGTGCAGAATTCGACCTCCACGAAGATTTCAAGACAAAGATAAGATAAATCCGTTCAGCCGTTCTCGAGTTTTAGCGAGACTAAGGAACAGCAATTGCTTTTTATATATATAAAATATAATTTCTTTATTTACAGAGGCGTCAAAGAGCAGACAAAGAAGACCAAAGGCACTACAAAGTCAGGAGTGAGAAGGTTCACCTCATTGGTGCACAAATAAGGTGCACGCCGTTAGACTATAATTACAATATATTTAATATTAGCTAATAAAAGTGTAGACGTGATTATTGTTGATGAGTTACAGTGATGCGATGAAAGACAGTGTTCCGTGAACAGTTACAACGATTTATAAAAGAAGAAATTTTACTAAAAAAAAACTATTGATCCGGGAATCAGACAGGATTCGGACCTGCGTCTTCCAGCATCCGGGCAGTCGCACTTACTAACTATGCTACCGAAACCTTAAGTTATGACCATGCCGGAAGGTGCAGGTTTGAATCCTGCCTTATGCGTCTATTAGTCAGCAGTGGGATGGCAACAATGCAAAAGGCTTGTGATGAAAGTACAAAGACCATTAAACTTAGAATGAACGCGAAATCTTGAAATTCCTAACTAGAAGGACGTTTTGCTGACCAACTTTCGTACTCAGATGCCTCTTGAATTTTTTTTTAAAGAATGTCCTTCTTTAACGTCGTAATACATAATAGTTCTCTTAATTTTTCTAAGTAGACGAGGAATAACACCCGAGGATAATTGTCTTTCTTTGCACTGTGATTCTGACGTAAATATTTGCTGCTACACTTGTTCATGTTCTATAGTACATTAAAAGCGGCAAATATGTGTAAAATATATTGAAAAATGTACACAGTAGAAGGGATTCAAAGTGTATATCATTTTTGAACATAATATACTTCGTATGTTAATCAACTGAAGTTATTGTTAAATATGTATAGACAATCAAAGATAAGCAAATTTATGCCTTATAACAATATATGTTGCGTTTTGGACGCGATGCATCAATTATGCGTAAAACGGTGCATTGTTTACCTAGATATTTTGAATCTTTTACTGAAACTTACAGAGAATACTTATATTCGAGCAGATAAATTTGTAATTTAATGTTTTTACTATATCTTATAAGTACATAAGATCTCTCCTACTTCATAATATGTACTAAACTATAAATTCCGTCTTAATTATCTGTCTATACTATAATGTTATACGTAGATGTTAGGTATATTGTATACATATATAATATACCTAACATCTACGCATAACTTTGTATTCATTTTGGAAAATATATTCACATGTATAATGTCCGCTTCAAATAGTTACTAGCCCACCTAGAAATATTAAAACATTTTGTGATCATTCACAGATTAGAAAAACAGATATTTTTTCATTATATAGTGCTCATTGTTATTTATAATATAAGTAGTGAGGTTGTAAACATTTGTCAAGTAAAATAGGCAAATTTTTGTGTATTACGTGCTTAAAAACAACTGACTACCTACTTTAAAAAACTTAAACTTTTTAGACATAAAAGCGATAGTTGCGTGTTTAAAATTCTAACAGCCGTATTCAGAAACGTCAGCGATAGTCGAATGCAGCTAATCTCCGAATTACCATCCAGAAGGAGATTTGCTTCAAATATCACCTTTAAGGTTTTAACTGACATAATCAAAGTCTTTGTTTTTATAGTCACTTAAAGAAAAAGCTCGTTATTATAAAATATTCTCGGAAAAATAAATCTTGATGTGGTGAATAAATTAAAGGAACAGTCTGACCACAGAACAAAAAACAAAGAGTAGAAGTAAAAGTATGGTAGGTAGTCACCCGCATAACCTCGGATATGCGAAGCTTAGCATATAGCTTAGCTAGTACTTACGCGGCAGTTGCAATAGGGTATTTGACAAGTTTTAGATAACGATCTCACGTTATTGACTGATGTTTATGGAGTCCGTAAAAAGTGGATATTCATCATTCTGTTGTATATTTCAGTAAAAATAACCAAATCAAAAACACCATTTTCAAGTTGCCGCGAAAACGTATTTCTGGACAATATGGCGTCTTACTAGTCCTCCGCTCCGCCAATCCCAAGCGTTTTGGGTCACGTGGCAATAGATAAGAAAACTATTATCTTTTTCGTGGGTTTTTAGTAAAATTATGAATATTTTTTTGTAAAAATAGTAAAAACCCCTGCGAATATTCATTCTAAACAAATGCTAACAATTGGCACTTTATTTTTAATACTGTCAAATAGGTACCCTATTGAGATACTGAGACGAACGTATAGCGAAACAAAATAGAAATAAGCCTAATTGTTCTATACTTCAGAGCAAAAACCTCAGCCACAAGCATAATGTATCCAATGGAGGCATAAAATACCGCCGATACGTATTATTTTAATATTTTTTACTGTAATTCAAAAATTTCGTTGCCATTTGCATGATGAAGAACATCTAGCGTCGTGTAGAAACACTAGAATAAATTAGTTTTAAAGTTATTCCAGTGTTTCTACTCGACGCTAGATGGCGAACTTTATATTAGTTTTCGTTTTAGTGTTAAATTGTTCGAGAAGTAAGGTTGAATTTGAATCGTCAAAAAATGTGACTTATGCTTATTTGCTTCTATGGATTGTCTTTTTTGAGCAATCTTAACCTTTGGTTGTGTTATGTGTACTATTCAGTTAGAGGTGTAGCTTTAATTTTGAATGTGTGTGTTTTGGTTACATTGGTTCTGGTACTAAAACAATATGATGCTACTTCTACTCTTTTTTCTGTTCTGTGAGTCTGACGGTAAATTATTGCAAATTGTATAACACACTTATATTATTCAACCTTGTCGTATACATTTAAATATGCGAGTACTACTCAATTTTATTGAGCAAACGTAATATTACTGCAGGCGAATCTGTTCTCTGAATAGAAACTAAAATTAAACGAGTTTAGTCAAACATTCAAATAAAGTAATAAATGTACTTTTGATCTTATTAAAATAAAAACTCTTTTTTTTTAAGAGTTATAAACTGACATTTCGGTATCAATATCAGTGAATCAATTAAAGAATGGGATTGAAAATGGCGGCAATACATAGAAATTAACCGCGGTCTAGAAAGAGAGAAAGCGCTTGCGCGGCCAACTACTGGCCACAAGGCGCTGCGAATTGTTGGCATCTGTCTTTAGCAGCTTATTATTACTGACTACAGGTTTTACAATTTTTCAAAAATATTATTGGTAATTTTACTGAAAAGACCACAAAATATAAATTGACTTTCATCTATATTATTGTCACGTGAACGCTAATACCTGGGATTGGCGGAGGCTAAAATGACGTCACAAATAGGTAAACTTAATGACAACCGCGTGACACCTCACACAGGTAAACACTGGCGTGTTATAACGTAGTGGTATAACCCGCCGAAACGCTTCAGAAGCATATCTGAAAGTAGTATTTTTGATTTCGCTTTTTAATACACAACAGGATGATAATAACCCATTTTTATGGAGTCTATAAACACTAATAAATAAAGTAAGATCATTTTAAAAAGTTGCCAAATACCTGTATCGTTTCTTTCACATCCCTTATTTTAAGTACGTTTACCTGCTGCCAGATAGAAAAACGCTCAGTCCATTTTCTAAACAGAGAAAAACAGAGCACTGGTTCGTACATAAATAATATGCTAATGAGGGGTAAATAGGAACGCCGCCACCTTCAATTCTATTCTTTGACACTTATCTGCCCCCCCTAGCGTACGAGCATCGGGGTATGCTATACAGGGCTGCGTTCAGGAACTACGTTCTGAGCGCAACTTTTTACCCAAAGGCCGTTCAGAAACATGGAGTGACAGTTGATTTGACAGATGGTTGTCGTAACTTGGTCGTTCCGAACCTCAGACAGAGTGTTTTTTTAACCCAAGTTGCATTATCTAATACTTCCCTTGCTCGTTTTTATCACTTATAATTGTCAAATTACTATGAAGTTTGACAGTTAAACGCGTTAAAAACCTTATATAATTTTGATTGTGGTGCTCATGCTACGAGGACTGTATCTCGACAGTGGATATCTGGATATGAGTTTTATCTTTGTACAGACAGTCACAGGTCAAGTTTTCCCAAAACTGTTACTCCAACTGAATTTGAGATTTATGTCGCTTCATTTACGATTCATAATCGATTGAGAAAATTTGATATTATTTGTTAACTTGGTCTGTAACTAACAGTACTGATCAAGTACATTCTTTGGTAGAGGTCTAATATTTTTTAGTTATATAATCAGTTAAAGATACCCTGGAGATGCTATTTGTATGGTAAATACATTGTCTGTCGTGGCGACACGAACGCTACTGACATCTAATCATTATTTCTATTCATTTGAACGAATAGCCGCAAACTGGTTTCACACTTTAGGGCCTGCGTTGCCTTAAGCGGTGTCCGTCGCGGAAACCCGCTCCGTTCGTCGTCGAGGACAATTTTAACCCGTCTCAGGATCCTCAACGGACTCCCGCCTCTCGCAGCGCCGCCAGTACAATTTCGATCGCGTGGGTAAAAGTCTTTAATGAATTCTTTTTGTTGATATCTAATACTAACTAGTGAAAAGACAACGCAGATAAGAGCACAGATGATTGCCAACCGAACGTGCCCCATCGCTCGCGGTAGGCTCCCGTCGCACGCAGCGCTGTTATATAACTAAATAACCAAAAATAAAACCGACTTCAAAATCAAATTCGATATTGAAGTCGGTTTTATTTTTTGTTTAAAATTTTCTTATTTCATCCATTTTAGTGAAAATTACATCGTCCAAGTAAACAATAACACAATTGACGGAGAAATCGGTGAACATGCAAAAAAAAAACATCGCGCGTACCTTTGAAATTTGAAGGTTTCCTTCGGTTTCCCCGGATTCCACCATCAGATCCTGACTTAGTTCCAAAAGAACCACCCAGAAGTGCACTCTTTCGAAAAAAATGGTTGCCTGTAAAGTCGGTTTTACGGGCGAAGATTTTACGTGACAACGTCTTTTTCTCGGTAGAATATTTATTGATATGAATATAATTAAATTGCACAATAGGAACAAGGAATTGAATGAAAATAAGAATTGCACAAATTTTAACTATAGAAATATATTTTGTTTACTAAAACATTGTACATGTAAACTTAAACTTAACACGAGAGACTCATCGTAACGTTACCGAGCGTTACACTTTTTCATAAGTGACTCCCAGCCGCAACCTAATTTAAGACGTTGTCACGTCAAAAAAAAAAATTTTGGAAATCGGTCCACAATTGACGGGGAAATCGGTGAACATACATTAAAAAAAATATACAGTCGAACATAGAACCTCCTCCTTTTTTGAAGTCGGTTAAAAATGACATGAAACAGCACGCGGGGCGAACGTCCGCTTCGTGCATCACAGGCCGGCCCTTAGACTATTTTCTAATTATTTTTTGTCTTACTTTATTCTTCATATCAGTATTCAAGTAATAAAACTTAAAGTACAGCCAAAGCAACTAAGCATGCAAAAAATCATAGATCTGTGTCACATAAGATTATACACCATGCAGTTGTCCTCTTTTTAATTATAATTATCTTGTAAATATTACTGATTTTGTGTTGCGTAGTTGCATACATTCTTATTCTGTAAGTTTATATATATTACGGCTAATAGCCGAAGTACGGCTACAACTAGGAGCTGCCCGCCACATGCGGTTAAACTTAGGTGTATCCTACTTATCTTCGGTTACATTTAGATTTAGCCTTTATTATAGCGGCTAAAACTAGGTGCAGCCACACACCGGTGGTTAAACTTAGGTGTACCCTATTTATCATCGGCTAGAACTAGGTTTTCAGTTCAGTTGTTTTGAGATTCTAATTTTGCGTTTCCCGATTGATTCGATTACATGGAATAAATAAAAGCCAGGGATGTTTAAGTGACATTTATTATTTATTATTTGACAGGTAAATATCTTTTAACAAAAAAGGCGTTATCATAAGTAATTAAAACAGAAAATATTATAAATCTTCTCTACATAAACTAACAGAACTAGACATAACAAAATAAACATAAAAAATAAAGTTTTACTTCTTAACTATGAAAAAATCAACTAAGTCTTTGTTCTCTTCTCTCATATTTTTATGTTAAAACAAATATATTTTTGTATAATTAAAACTGAGTTGAAAAGTTATCCACTTTTCAACTCAGTTTTAATTATACAAAAATCAACAAACTCTCATATGTGATAGTATGTTGCAAGAATGTCTATCACTTATTTGAACAAGATAATTTTGAATGGCATTTGGAGTTACACAAGTCCAAGGACGCGCGGCGGGCGGAGGACTGCGCGCGGGCCCGTCGCGATGCCAACTCCTTCCCCGCGTCTATACCGCGCTGCTAACTTGACGAACTCTTTAGTGCCTACTTACTGTAGTTTTTACTACAGAGGGACTCTCCACATTAAAAGGCGAAATTTCATTTCAGTTCATAATATAATTCAACACAATTACGAGTATAAATCTTGTTTCGGACTAGCATGGTTTATGGCTTGTCTAGGATAAGATATCTTGTCTACCGGGGTGATGATACAAAATCGAATCGATCAGGAAACGCAAGATACGAATCTCAAAATAAAACCACAATTCTTAAGTGAACTGAAATCTAGTTCTAGCCGATAATAAATAGGATGCACCTAAGTTTAACCACCAGTGTGCGGCTGTTAGTTCTAGTCGCTATAATGAAGGCTAAACCTAGTTGTATCCGAAGATAAGTAGGATACACCTAAGTTTACCGCATGTGGCGGGCTGCACCTAGTTGTAGCCGGCTAAAACTGGGTGTAGCCGCACTTCGGCTATAAGCCGTAACATATATATATATTGGTATCGACTCTGGCATGATTCTCCAAACCTAAAATTATATTTGACAACAGTGTATCTCCTCATTCTGTGTAGAGAATGAGATGGAGAGACTGATGTTAAATTTAGTTTTAAGCTTGGAGAATCATGCCAGAATCGAGACCATTATCTTACTTTTCATACCAATATAATTATGAATGATTACATTTTTAGCTTGCAAAATTTTTTTAATAAGCCAAATGGTTGTTTCTTGTGCACGTAAGAGCATATCTTCCCTTTTTTATTTAATCTAAGGTTTCACTATTACTTATCTGTGACCTCTCTTAAAGATACCGTGTAGGGAAGATGCATATATAATATTTATGAAAATTTTATGATTAAAATGTTAAAAAAATATAAAAGAAATGCCACTGCAACGTTTTTATTTTACATAATGTTGTTTTTTAACAATTATTACGAATTAAAAATACTTGAAACGGAACGTATTTTAAAACACCAATCAGCGTTTAGTGACTTCAGTCCTGTTATGACAACTTCTTTGAGGTTATGTTTGTAAAAGTAAATATTATTTTATGGGAATATTTATTGCGTTTCTTTACATTTAATAAAAATGGAAGTTGCGTTTATCAAAGCAGACTCCAGGAATTTACCAAGAGTTAGCGTTGACATGGTTATAACTTTTTTTGTCCAAAGTGCAGAGTTTTTAAGTGTAGAAATGAAAGGGACTATATTACTACGGTATGTAAAAATCGTAGTTTATTCGTATTTTATTCAGCGGCTTCAACAAATCTTACGGCGATAATGCAATCGGCTATGTCCAAATTAAAAGAGATGGAAAATTATGTACAGTAAAAGGTCGAGTTCTCCGGAGCATAAGCTACGTAAAGAAGGTTATCGTGTTACAGTTATTTTAAATGAAACGCAAAGCTTGGTTCAGTCCTGCAAATGAGAAGATTGTGCCACACATTTTAAACTTTATCTAATTTTCGACGTCAAATTAAAAATATGTTATAGACAGGTTTTGTAAGTATTAGGTAGGTTACTAATGCGTTTTTACGTACAAGCAGATTAATTAAGCATATAACAAGTATATTCGCCAACTTACGTCAAAGTGATCTTCTCAGCATCGAATAATGGTCTTTGGAGAATAATTGTCATTTCTCTTCGCAGCTTGAAACCACTTTTCTTTCAGTTTTGGGTCAGAAGTTCCAGTCAAAAACAATTTATTTGGGAACTTTGTTGAAGTAGATTGGCACAAAACATGAGTCAACACGGCTTTTTTTCGGAATACTAGTGGTATTGTTATGATCACATGATGTTGATGGATAGTCCATTTTAAAGTTTTCACAAAAATATTTTGAAAGTCGAAAAACTATGCAAAAGTATGAAAATTTAAAGCCAGCAACGAACAATTACGACCAGTGACAGACAGGAATGACGCCATCGCAACCATAGGTTCGTTTTCGCGCGAAAATTTAAATTGTCAATTTAAAACCGCATTTTTTCCGATAAATCACAATGTTTTAATTTTTTAATATATCTGTGGTTTATTCTACATGGAATTCTTTAAAATGAAAACAAAAATAAAAATATTGCATCTTCCCTATTTAAAAAAAAATTACTTTTGAACATGAAAAAACCGCACTGATTGAGTGCAGAACTATCAAAAACCCGCCAAAGAGAAAATGGGTTTTGCTTCAAATTTATCTAACGTCCATCTTATGTACTACAGCATTTTTGTGGAAACGTATAAATATTGTACTTTACTTTATTTAATTTTTAGTTGATTTTATTTTAAGAATTAAACTACTACATGGTTAAATCTAAAGAAATTTTACTAGAAAAAATTCCACGCGGTACAGGCAGCAGACGGGACTCGATCCCGCACCTTCCGCTCTAGTTTTTAGTTTCTATTGATGACTTTTAGGTACTATGACTATATAATTGGTTAAATTAAAAAATAGATGCTTTGTCGCACTTAGGGTCAGTTTTACAGGTTGCTGTTTCAGATAGTAATCTTCCATTTAACACTATCTATATAGTAGATAAAGGACGACATTTATAATATGTTTTTTTTTGTTTTACTGGCAGATAAATTAACAACATGTCATATATTAGTTTATCAACAGAGAGTGGAAGGATTTTGCCATGGATCAAACTTAAAAAAAAGCAATATTTACAGCAATACTAATTGTGGTATTTTTTAGTTTTAACATAATATCGTAATAGAGGTGACGATTTCGTGTAAATTTCCAAACTTTAAATTATGCTTGATATTAGTTGGATTACATAACAAGTATGTTATCATGGCACTATTTATTCGTACAAAAAGTTAAGCATTATACTATTAAAAGAATTTCCTTAATCGATATTTATAAATAGGTACCTTTTTTGTTGATATAAAACTTTCATCATCGCTGATTCATTATTAAACATTGTTTTCACTTAAAAATAATGCACTTGTACATCACCCTTCAGTTAAAATGTTCCTGTCTGTATATATAGTTGAATTCTTTACGATCTCTTTTTTGTTAATGTTTAAGTCACAATTCCGAATTCATTTCCTACTTATGTTACTCTAGTATGCTAGTGTTCAATTAATAACATTTAATCTTTAATTAGATTTATTTCTCACTTTTTCTTACGATTCTTTATTTAAACACAGGGTGCGAAACAGAATTTTCTCAACACTATAATGCACATTTTCGATTTGCCGTTATTGCAGCCACACACGTCAAGTATACTTACGCAAGTATAGTATACATTAACGTGTGTTGGCAGAATTGTTCAACATTTCTTCTAATACAGGTTAATTTAATTAGGATAAAAATGCAGCGCAGTTTTCATATTACAAAGTCATTTTCGTATTCATTCAAATTCGCACTGAAAAGTTAATTTCAATTTAAATCAAAACCTTAATTACTTTATTATTTAACGGCCGTGTATTATACGAACATACAAAAGGCAGGTCGTTACTTTAATTTTCGCTTTAATATTTTACGATGCCATTATGTACAGGCCCGATCATGTCACGTATTTATACGTGCAGATAATCCTACTTCGGGGGGGTATTAATGTTTATTATTAGCTTCTGAGCGCTACAAAACTTTGATTAACCTTTTTTCTTTTTCATAGTTTTCGACTGGATATTTCTCCAAACGAATGCAAGAAGAAAATATGCCATTCATTCATGATCAATAGGTGTGCGATGCAGCTGCTTGTAGCAGTCGTGGTCAGTCTGTACGTTTTGATAATATTTAATAAGTCAACCTTGCAGGCTATCTACAATCGAAACCTATCACATTTATAAACATTCGAAGACGAAATGTGGCTGCATTGACATTAAACTTATTTATATCGCGAAAGGCACCTTTACATTGTACCTTAACGTTATTTATTTTGTACAAGAGTAAGATTAGTAAGGACAGATTAAGTATTTAAAGGTGTTAATTAATTTGAATTCTGACCAAGTGCGAGTGTTCTGTTAGTCTTATCTACATTGTTATAGTAAATTACGAATACAATGTGAGTATGTGATAATAATAACAGTAAATCGAGGCGAAAATGGAATGGATTTAATATTTTGTAATTACCTATTACAACTGGTGTTTATTTGTTTTTGTATCCAAACCTAGTTCGTCCCAGTTCGTAGAATTATTAAGTGCGGAATGTAGGTAGGTAGGTATCTCGTTAACCCTAGTTAGCGAAGAGAATGCTTGGCACGCTTTACAAATCTTACCGACATTGTGATAAAATACTATCGTACTTATTCTAAATAAAGGGGAAATGTTTAAATTGTCTTTTAATTATTCTACCCCACCCTATAGTATATATAAAAATTCTTACTCTTCTACTAATATTATAAAATATTATAAATGTGTCACT